GGACAGTGTGCACTCTCACTGGAGCCATAAAACCAGACTGATATCCCCACATTCCACATGTAGGGTCCAAAGGTGCTGAGGGACAAGATCTCTCTTCCTGAAAGGCTGTTTTTTTATAGTTTTTTGCTTCTGTTTGCAGTTTTTCTACCTCTGCTTCTAACTCTCCTACCCTTCCTTTTAGCATATCACACTTTCTAACCAGCTGTTCATAATCAACAATTAAACACATACCAGTCATTTTGTCCTTTGATAAATATTGTGGTTTATGCACAAAATCAGTGTTGCCCACTTGTAATGGGGGTTGGTCATCCTTCTTTCTTTCAGTCATACAGCCAAGGTATCTCAACAAGAAAACTAATAAACTTACTGCTACAATAGTTATAAAAGCACTAATTAAACACTCTTCATATTGTGGATCACTAAATCCCTTCATCTTTCCCTTTTTTTTTTAACCTAAATATCCTCCAATCTCAAAATCTTTAAATACAATTCTGTTTACAAACTAATAACAATTTGCAATTAGGAGATCTGGGCCAGCCAACACATTAACTAGAGGTACTTATGGCTATACCTGCCCCTACACTAACTGTTGGTCCTTATGGCCTCTTTGATTTCCCACTTCAACAATACTTAGAGGAACTTACAGCTTAACCCGCCCCCACACTAAGTACAGTGTTTTAAGACTGCAACCAAAATGTTACAAAACTGCAACAAACTCCTTAAATTCTCCAGCACCCAGTTTCACATACTACAAAAGGTGTGAGTCACCAGTCAGGTCAGGGACACACAACCAAATGAAAAATGAACAAAATCACCCTCTAACTTGATTGTAGGTCTTGATCCTGAAGGATATTTCTCACCCTGCTCGCTGCGCCAAGAAACTGTTGGGATTATGTGGTTCCCAGAGAGTGAGGTGCTGGGCAGAATCAAGGGTCTTCAATTCAATTCAATACTTTATTCAGTGTGCACAAAGGGAGAGCCCCTGGTACTAAAATCAGCCAGAGCCCCTCGAGCAAGGAGCCCCTCCCCTTGCTGTTTTATAGCACATGGCAGTTACAGGTTACATAACACAAACTTCTAAACCAATCAGATTCAACCTTTCCATATATGGCTTTGTTTGTCACATGCTTGTACTTCTCCACTCCACATGTTGAGTTCACCCTCCTCCCCTTGGCCTTTTCTAGGCTGTTGCTAGGGTGGTGAGCCACAGCATGCTTCTTTATGCATACCTACTTTCCAAACCACATTTTGTTTAAAATGAACACATGCATACCCTTCACCGTCAAGCCACCAGATCCGTCCCATGGACGCAGAAGAGAGCATCAGGCAGACTCCCTGCCTGCCCCTATGCTCTGCTGAGAAACAGCTATGAGTCCTGGGAGAGTGAGGAGAGGCTTCATACGCTGTCCCTGCCCCCAGCACAATCCTATTGGCTAGTTTCTTCCTCCCTCTCCTCTCAGGTTCCTAGCTGTTGGAAAAACCATATGGTCCCTGCATCCAGTTTTAGGGTGGGGCAAAGGCTGCTAGATGGAAGTCAGGCAGTCAAGTGCCCCAGCCAGAGCTTGCCTCTGGCACCCCAATCCTTTGTCCCCCTAACCCACATAACTCAAACCCTCTGCTCTCCCTCCTGTCACCATATCTCCTCCCAGATCCTGCCTCCTAATCCCTGCCCCAGGTCACAACCCAAACCTTCTGCTCTCCCTCCTGCATCCATATCTCCTCCCAGATCCTGCATCCCAGTCCTCTGACCCAGGTCACAACTCAAACCCCTTCCCCAAGTTACAACCCCCTCTTGCCTTGGATCACAATCCAAACCCCCTCCACTGCCTCATGCAACCTAGCCCCCTTCCTCAGGTCACAACCCAAACCCCTGCATCCTAGTCCCCTAACCCAGGTCACAACTGCCTCCTTCCCCCAAACTCCCTCCTAGACACCACACCCTCTCCTGCACCCCAATCCCTTATTGCAAGCTCCCTTCTGCACCCAACCTCCACCCCAAACCCTAAACCCCATTAATATACAAAAGTTCAGCCCTTGACCGCTTTCCAAATTCTTGGAGTGGCCCACCATAAAAAAGTACTGCTCACCCCTGTCCTAGGTAATGGTCCTTTCCATTTCTCTCCATTCTGTTTTAACAGGAATTAGTGGTGATGAGCATAGTGTCTAATTTGGAAATACCCTAATGATGTTGTGTGGCTGAGCAAGTGAAGGACCTTTTTAAAAGCTACATCTATACTACAGAAAGATGATTTAAGCTGTGCAGCTCCAACTAAGTGAATAACGTGGCTAGTCACAGTATCTTGAGTTGACTTACCGGGGCTCTACACTGAGGGGGGAAGAGGGATCGATGGGAGAAACTATACCTCCCTAAGGCCACAGATGCTACAGTTTTACAAATAATAACAACAATGCTCTCTTATTTGTTGCTGATTATTTTTGTAGATGTTTATTCCGCAGGTGGTGAATACAGATATATAGGATTAAACCTAGTGCTCAGGAATGTCAGTGGAAAGGTATATAAATTGCTCTGTTAAAAAGCGGATTCAGAAACATTTTCAGTTAGTAAAATAGTACATTATGGTGTATTTTTCTTGAGGCTGGGGATTCCTTTATTTTAATTCCGGCTGTAATACTGAACAAGTTACTTAACCTCTTTTATTTTCTTTATCTGAAAAATTAGGATAGAGAAGTGTTTTGAGGTTTAGTTAGTCAGTGTTTGTTAAAACACTTTGGAGATGAAAAGTGCTGTCTGGATGATAATTTTTATTTATGCTTCAGATTTTAAGGATAAAATTAGGGCATTTTTGTGCAATTACCTCTATTGTGTTACTTTTCTCTGTGTACTGTTTTGTTCAAAACACAAACAACATTGTTGATTTTGTTTTCGTTGTGACTATTTGATTATTTCTATAAAAACAGATGTTTTACTGTATTTTCAAGTTTAGTAGTTATGTAGAATATCATTCTGTTAGTGCTGTGGGGCGAGCAGTTTTTACAAGATTAAAAGGCTTGAGGAGTCCATCAATAGCTCTATGTTGCTCAGACCAAGAGTGCAATAAAAGATAGATCAGAAATATAGTATCTAGTTTGCATATTGTAAAAATTGTTATGTCTTCGAAGTACCTAAAACCATCCCCAGTAATGATAATACAATTTATCATGGATAAGCTAAATATCTCCTATAAATGAATGAAGAAATAATGGATTAAACTCGTTTATTAGTGTATAGCTCGGAACAGCTTTGTACATGCTTTTTAGAGTACTATATGGAAGTCAAATGAAGCAAGATGGTGAAAGTAGCAGCACAATACATTGGGGTTATGTAATGGCAAAATGAAAAAATAATGTTTATTAGCAAATTGACTTTTTATTTTGTGCAACTTTAAATAGGTTTCAAAACATTGCTGCTGTAATTAGTGATGTGAACGGTTAACTGATAAACATCACCCTTACCGGTTATGATTAACTGGCAACCCGACTGGGCTGGAGCAGCCCAGACAGGCCTGCTGCACTGTGAATAGGGGGCACTCCAGCACAGCAGGGCTGGTGCAGGTCCCCACCCACTCATGGTGTGATGCAGTGGGCTCCGACCAGAGCAGTCTCCACCTGGCTGGGCCCGCCACGAGGCAGGTAGGGGGTATTCAGTCTGTCTGGAGCAGCTTCTGCCCATGGCAGGGGACTGCTTCAGCCCTGCCAGCCCATCACACCATGGATGGGGCCCACTCCAGCCCAGGCAGGCTGGGACAGCTCTGTGCCCACCCCTGTTCAAGTGGTTAACTGATTAAACGGGATTTTATATCCCTAGCTGTATGTGAGTGCAACTTCATTGAAGTGATGATGGCCTACCTACCATAGCAGTGGATATTAGTAATATTTTAGCTATTAGAAATAGTAATTAAATTATATTAGTTGGTAATTCTATTTATATTGTCACCCACTCACCTGCAAATAAAGCTTGTGAGGTATTTGGCATTAATCGTGACTCATGTTATTTATATGTAGTTAAGTAATTCAGCAACATGTAAACTTATGAAGTGAATAGTGGCCGACAGCAGGAGATGAGTGTCATTCTCTTGTGAAACATCCCCATCAATTCTAAAAATATGACTATTGCAATGCAAAATATTTTCCATTATGACTCTCAGCATATAATGACATTACAAACCGCCTGTTTCTTTTTTTTTTTTTTTTTTTTTTTTTTAAATATACTGCCTTTAGCACAATTTGTTTTGGAAGCCAAGAATCCTGATACAGGTTGAACCTCCATAGTCTGGCACCCTGAGGACCTGAGTAGTGCTGAACCAGAGAATTTGCTGATCCACAGGAGGTCAATATTGTCTAGCAGAATTACCAACACTTCCACTGCTTACTGGGATCTTAGAAGACATTTACAGGTAAATTAGAGCTAAATAGCAGCACAGAACACAGAGCTAGGATTGGTGGCTGTAAATAAACTATGGGACTGTGGGAAACTTGGCCACACTCATGCTAAATGGACGTCTGGCTAATTTAAATCATGTTGGATCATGGATGTTGCTGGACCAGAGTGTGCCAGACTAGAGGGGTTCAATGTGTAGTTTAAAATAATTTATTTAGAGATTTTCAAACTACCCCTTTTAAAACACACACACAGAATCGTTTAGTGTAGTCATATTGTTACGAATTAAGGTCAAAAGTTTACCATTCTGCTGGATGTGTGCTCTTGGTGCCAGGACAAGCAAGGTATCAGGTAATGTACTTAAGACTGCAGTACAAGATAAAGTGGTACCTAATCAATTACATAATCTTAAACATATTTGCTGTTGTTTTTAATGGTTTAAGTCTTTTATACTGGGGTGGGCAATAACTGGCATGTGAGCCGGTCTTGGTTTGCTAGAGTTAGCCGCTGGCAGGCCACCAGATGTTTTGGTTTTTTACCTGAGCGTCCGCAGGTACTGCTGTTCACAGCTCGCAGTGGCCGTGGTTCGCTGTTCCCAGCCAATGGGAGCTGCTTTATTAAGAAAACATCATCAGTTCTTCTAATTTTAGGTATGAATCCAGATTTAAATAATTTTTCCCTAAAAAATGCTTCAAGAATTTTATAAACAGCACATTAAGATTATCCTTTTGAAATGGTGTGCATAGAAGACAATCCTCCATATATTTTTCATGTGTCATATCTTTTTTCTGTTTAACTGAACCAAATTCCTTTGATCCACAAATTATATTTTTTGAACTCTTTTCTGGGACAAATGTTGGAATAACAAATTGGAGAGCAGATCTGTTGCATCTTGAAAAGAAAATAGTGTTGTGATGTGCTTCATGGTATTTGCTTCCCTTTCAGGAAAGACAGATATCATTGTTGCTTTACAGCTTTCCAGTGTTAATTTCTGCTTGTGAGAGAGTAGAAGGAGAGACAAGAATAGTTAAGCTAGTAAAAAAATGCAAACACTGTACCTACTGGCAGGCAAACTGATGGTATTACTTCATGTGTTTTTATTGTGTGTATGTAATTGGTTCCTGTTGCTTGGCTTATGTTTTGGCTCATATTTGATCCAAATAATTAACTTGTTTGTTGCTTTATTAACAATTCCTTGTTTGTCCAGGCCTCATCTTTGACAAGTATAAATGGATATTTCCTTAAAGAAAGTAAAACCACTTTTCGTCCTGTTCTTGAGCTAGCCATTAATTCTGAGTAGCTTATTTTTCCCCACTTTTTTTGTCCAACTACACTGTCCCAATTGGGATAGCTCCAAATATTTAAGAAAATGAAGAGAGATGTAAAGGCCTTTGTTCAAAAAATCAACGTTTAATGTAGGTTGGTTTCTTATTCTCACTGTGTGCCAGTTAAAATCATTACAACTCTGTGACTCAACATAATAGCAGGAAACAGACTAGCTGGTTTAAAAGTGATACTGCTAAAGAATCCACCCCCTTATTTTTTAAAAATTATTTAGAATGTTTAGCATCCATGCTAGGCTCAGATACTTCAGCTACTTAATACTGTAGTTCATATCAAGGATGTTAAATATTGGTTCATTGAATAGTTGATTAACCACATGAATTCTTATTGGTTACTTGACTATTCTATAGTCCCTGGGGGCGAAGCTGGCAGCCAGTGCTCTCCAGCCTTACTCCCGAGGAGCTCCCCGCCACTCCTCAACGCTACTTCTGTATCAGAGGCAGCAGTGTGGGGTGCCAGGTGGGAACTGGTCCACAAGGGGAGCCAGTTTAAAAACCAGCTCCCCTTGCAGTCCAACTGCCTGTTGCCCTGTGCTGCTGCCTCTGATAAAGAGGCAGCAGCGTGAGGTGGCAGTAGCCCCGGTCTAGGGCAGGGTCTGAGCTCCCAGGCCCAGTGTGAGCCGGTCTTCCTGCCGGCCTAGCAGTATCCCCTCTTAGATTTTCCAACTGTATGTGGAGTGAGTTTTGGCTTATGCACCAATATTGAGGTCATGTGACTGGTTTGGATGTGTGCCACTGTGGCACCCAGTTTATTAACATACACATGTTCCCAGCCACCAGAACAGAATCCCCCTTCCCTCCTCCCGCAGTGCAGCATGTCTCATTCCCAGCCCCTTTCCCGCCACGTGTCCGCAGCAGGTCCCGGTCCCCTGCCTCACGACGCTGTCTGTTGGCCCGCCCTCTGGAGCAGCCACCTGCCACACAAGTGATACTACGCAGCTCTCCAGAGGAGGTGGGTGGGGGAAAAGCAGGAGCTATGCCACCCAGTTCCTAATACCCCTGCTGCAGCTCTGCACTGAAAGTGTAAGTCCCGGACCCAGCATGAGCCATGAGCTGGGCTGCATGCCCTCCCAGTTTCTAATACAGTTACATTCAGAGCCACAGCACGGGTAGTCCTGGGCCTGTTGCAAGCCAGGACTGAGCCGGGCTGCAGGCCAGCCTGATAAAAAATTTACTGGCAGGGATGGAGAGGGAAATGCGTATAGTCTATAGCATTAACCTATAAGCTTTTGCTTGTCAGTTAATTGGCTAATTGAGTACACTATTATATCCCCAGTTCATATCAACATTTACAATCTATAGCACACTTAGTGGACTACCAATGAAAATTTAAAAAACTGGCCTCCCCAGCAATAAGCCACTACTTCCACATCCCATCAAGCCACATCACAAAAAATGAGCTTTTCAGCATGTATAGAAGTAAATTAGAGCCATGCTCTGGTTGAAATTGGAGACCAAATTTCAGTGCCAAGGAATCTTCATGTAAAGCACACTGTCAGTAGCTCTCTGTTTCCCTGCACACATTTTACTAAAAAACAAAGTTAATTGAGACTCTAGCTAGAACTGTTCCACTACCTGTAACCGTATGTCTTGATTGTATTGCTAGAAATGCATAGAGCAGCGGTTCTCAAACTTTTTGGGCTCCGGAGCCCTTTACATGCGTGTAAATTTATGCAGAGCCCCAGCGGTCCACTGATTGTATATGCTGTACCTATCGACCTTGGCCGCATTAGAGTTCCAAATTTTGTGTGTGTGTGTGTGTGTGTGTGTGTGTGT